TCTTTAAGTTGATTCATTAATTTATAAAATTTGAGAAATTAATTTAAACAATCCTAAATCTATACTTGGACATTTTAACTGTTTTTAATTATTTTTATCTACAATTAACTAACATTATATACCTACTTTATACTATTGTTAAAATCCCTACACATTTAAATTATTAAGAAGTTTTATTAAATTTATTGTAAGAAAAATTTATTAAAATTGTATACTACTAGATTAATTATATTATTATGTACAAAACCCCTAACTAAATAATTATTCTTCCTTCTTAAATATAAATAAATGAACACTAAAAAATCGGTTAAAAAAAAAATTCGTAAAATATAGATCGTACCCATACAAAAATACAAAATGTATCCATACACCAATATTCACCTCGAGTATATATAAAACACCAATTGCTCGTAGTCTTCTTGCCGTAAATGTTCAATCTAATGGACAAATGTGTAAAACGCGATATGTGTAAAACAAAAAATTTTACTTGTCATTAAAACAAATTAAAATAAACAAACAAAAGAAACACAAATGTTGAAAAAATTCGGGTCGTGGATTACGATGTCGTTGGGCGCCACTGTCGTATATGCACCTTTCAGTGATAAACCTCTATCGACACTAGAGTTACCAAAAGACTATACATTAACCGGTTACAGTTTGATGCTCTAGATGTCGATATCGCTACCTTTACTGTTTAGACTTTCAATCTTCAAAGACCATAAATTAACCGGTTACAGATCAGATTGAAAGAATACAATTAACGTAGGACTTCTTTCACCGTTTAAACCTTGAATCTTCAATGACCATAAAGTAATCGATTACAGATCAGATTTAAGGAGTATACTTAGAATGGTGTGGCTACTCAATCAAAGCATATAATTTTCGGGTCGGAAACACTTTTATTTCACTTAWATAAACAAACACAAAATTCACCATCAAAAGTATCGCAGTCTTGACATACCGCGACTGCCCCCTCTTATTCTACTTTTTGCCTTATATCTAGTTTACATTTTAACTGCCTCAGCACATTTGCTTCCTTGGCCTACTCTACAAATATGATTACTATTTTGTTTATATACATAGTCACCTATTACTACACTACAACGTTCAAATTCTATACTTTTATGCCCGCCGTCGACCATAGTTGATCATTACTACCACGCCAAATGACCCGCCGGCGACCATAAATTTATATTTGAACAAATGCTTATAGTTTTTGTGGCGTTACGATAATGCATTTTTAAACAGTACTATGGCGTAGAGAAAAACATGACGATTCTTTTGGTATAAAAAAACAACATTTTTTTAATTTTAACGATTATTTTGTTATAAYWAACATATCATTGGCATAGTTAAATTTGGAATTAAATTGGTGCTTATGAAACATTGACACAACTACAATACTGTCATTTTTTATAACCTGTTAATGTTTATTTTATTGTAAACAAATTAAATAATATTATTACAAAAGTAGTTTAGTTATTATTAAAAAGTATCATAAAAAAATGTTTAAAAACAAATAATTGTCGCTTAGCTGATAAATTAAACACAATTAAATTTTAGTTTAAATAAAACRTATAATTATATTATATAAAATGAAGATAATAATTTTATCTAATAATTAATTTACATGATTTTTATTAAAACAATCAATACATGTATACATTTTGCATGTTGAACAAAGCGTATTTACCTTATTGGTTGTAAGTGCAGCTGACTTTGAACCTAAAGCTGTGGTTTTATGTGAGTAGCAGTRAAAGCATCTTTTTCTAATTTTCCTGTTCCTATGGTCCCTTTCTACAGATTCTTCAAAAACATGTTTGACTCTTTTACGTTTATTATTTGAACTAGACGGCTCTTCAGATATGTCGGTTGATTGATTTAACCCTAACAGTTCATCTACCAACATTTCTCGAAATTTTGTAATAGAAATTTTTTCGTTTGGAAGTTTCTWCATATTATACACAATAAAAGCATTGACCACCGATGTACCTAATAAAAGTTCAGTGGCCACTTTATGGTACCATCGTATTGATTTAYGTATCGGAGAACTATAACTTGATAGTTGGTCGGATAAGTCTATCCCTGCCTTTCCAGAGTTGTAGTCTATAATTATTTTTGGTTTTAAAATCGGTACATCATTTCGATTCTTTTTGCCTGTATCGATCATTTCAATACCATGTTTGGTAGACAACATTGCAACATCTCGTTGTCGTGCCATTTCGCCACTACCACCCCATCTGTACTTTCTTTACCAATTATTTGTCCTTTTTTMAATTTTGTTTTTAAAACTTCAGGTAACTTCACACGATTCGTTCTCAATGTTCCTACCAGATATGTGTTGTTCTTCAATAAATCACGAGCGAATGGCATGGATGTATAAAAGTTATCTGTAACTACAGCAGTGCGTCCTACATTTAAATAAGGTCTAATTAACTCCATTACAACTCTAAGTGCTAAACCTTTACCATCTACCTGATTTTTACCAGCATATACTTGTAAATCATGTGTATATCCATTTTTTTCACATATTTTAAATAGTTTCACTCCATATTTATGAGCCTTCCCMGGTATGTATTGCTTGAATTTCAATCGACCACGGAATGGAACCATTGACTCATCTATTGCTAAGTCCTCATCTGGTTCCATGACATTTTGATAATTTTTTACAATACGTTCGAGCAAATCACAAACTTTATAGATACGATCATTGTCAAGGATTTTCTCGTTATCCGCAAAGTSCCAAAATCTTAAGAGTAATTCAAATCGATTTCGGGATATTATTTTAGGAGCAACATTATTTTTGTATCTAATTTTGGTACTCCAATAACTCTCTAAGCACGGAATTTG